TATCACTGAAGTATAGGGTCTAAAACAAATACATTCCAAACTGATTCCACAAGAAGTTATTATATTTTTCTTTCTGTGGCCTATGACTTGTAACAGGGTTTTTTTCTGAGTAGGTATATACCAATGCAATCTATACTACTGAGTAGAAGCAACATAGTACTAAGAGTTGGCCAAGCTTTCTAGCAGAAAATTAATTACTTTCAGAATATTATTAGGTTCCTGACGCTAAAATCCAGCTTGTAGATCGATATTTGAATCCATCAGAAGAAGTCTTTTATTTTTGATTCATTGTTCCTGAGAAAAAATGTTTTGAAAATATTTGAGATGGATCACGTATATGAAGTTGTGGTGTCCAACAGTCACATAACTTACCCCTTTCCAAGGATGCTGTGTACATACCTAATTGGGCAGCACACATTTCCAAAACATCTGTTTTCCCATCGTCTATCAGCTACCAAATTAGTCTTACTGTATTTTAGGAAACCGGCAGGAGGAAGGCTACGTGAGTGGGAAAATTAGGCTTTGAACGTATAAAAGAAACACTTGAAAGGCCAGAGAAAACCAAAAGAGAGTGAGGTTCCAGGGCACTGGAGAAGGGCAAGAGACAGTCAACCTAACTGCAGTCTTTGGGAAGATAATGGAACGAGTTATTAAGCAGTCAGTTATTGAGCATCTAAGATAATGATATGATAATAAAAAGCAGATAGTGTAAATTTTTCAAGAACAAATTTTTGCCAAGAAGAAATATTTTTCTGACACAGTGATCAAGGGAGAAGCCACAGATGTGACAAATGTGGCTTTGATTGGGCTTTGATCTAAGTCACCTGAGAGTCTGACAAGCTGAGTAGGGAATTGCAGCCTAAACTGAAGAGCAGTTATGACTACTATATGAAGAAGTAATTAGAAATACTTCTCTTGTAAACTGGGAGTCAAATGGGGTTACGCAATGATGTGCCATGCACCTAGCTTTATTTCATATTTTCCTTATTACACTGACAATGAAAGTGAGAAAGCACACTTTCAGAATCTGGGCTGATAACTAAAGTGGGAAAGATTGCAAGCAGTTTAGCAAACAGAAACAGGACGCCAAATGATGATCTGAAAATTCCATAGAGACAGACACAAAGCACCACAATGATAACCAAGAAAACAAATTCAAACACAAGGGGAAAAACTAGCCAGACAACAAAAACACAGGAAAAAAATCTGAAAGTTACAGTGAGTTGTAGTTAGAGAGTCCAAGAAGGTACAGTTGGAAAAAAAAAAAAAAAAAGGATAGCCAACTTAGCACTATGAAGATCTAAGACACAAGAAACAAATATTTTGCTCTGTTCAGCAGCAGTGAAACACACAGTTGGCAAACAATGTACAGATTAAACACCACATTTAGAGAAAACTACAGAGTGGAAAAAATCTAAACTTTAAAAACGCATGATCAGTAGGAAAATACTAAGAGAACAAAATTTGTTTAGTGTAGATTAATGTGAAAAGAGGAAAGAGCAATTACAATCTTCAAGTTCTTCTGCATTCTGTCAAGAATGGAATATCTTTATACCACCAAGGATAGAAAAAATAATCACTGGAATCATTTGCAGCACAGAATATATTAGGAAAAAACCTGAGTGGACTATAAAAATCATCATGTAATGTCACTAGGTCAACAGATCATGCAGTTCCTGTCACTAAAGGCTTTTCAAAACAAATTAAACAAATTCACCATGAAACATTTTGTTACGAGTTTGCTGTAAGATTCGACACTGCTTTAATGAATCAGTTAACTTGGTGTCACCTCAGAAATACAGGGACGTTAGAAACACATCACACTCATAGTGACAGTCAACTACAACACAGCGAACATTTAACCTAAGTGACACCTGTGTGAACTCACAAAGCAGGACTTCTGCCGATGTGAATAAATTCAACATAAGAATTGAAAATTGCAGTTTTTCCTGGATTAAACAAAAAACCTGTAACCCCTGTATTTGAAAACGAACAGTGGCGTTCTTGTTTAAGTGGCAAATGCTGATCTTGAGTTTATGTTCTGAATGCAAAGTGCAAACAAAGCTGCTACACAGGCTGGGGGCACTGGGGTAAATCTGAACTGCTTGAGGCAGGTACTTAAAGCTGAGCACACTAGCAGGTGCATCGGCCAGGCTCTTACATGTATCTCGAATATGTGTTTGAGTACATAAGTCGATTCAAAGCTGTTGGGTTTTAATCAGTTTTGCTAAAGTGGCTTTTGCATAGCATCTTCGGCAAAGGGGACACAGTTGCCTTATCAGTGCAAACTGCGCTTTCATTAGTGCCCCTGCAACGATACCCTGTCATCTTCCTTGCATTACTAAACAGACGATCCAGGCAAGAATAGAGACGGCCGCACCTGAAACGTATCCCCTTCTCAAAACCCACCAGCTGCCTTCCCGCTGGCCCCCTCCCGAGTTTACGAACTGGCCAGTTCCTCATTCAGGCCGGCTCGGGCGCGCAACACCCTTCCAGTCGGGTATCAACGAGACCTAACGGCGGTTTAAAACCGCCCGCTCACAGCGCCTCGCAAGATCCCTCAGAAAAGAGCGCGGGGAAGGGCCAGGGCAGCCCTCACCGGCGCCCAGCGGGCCGCCCGGGCAGCAGCGGCGGCACACCCCCC